CAAGCCTTATCTGGAGCATCTTCCTAGTAAGATCCTTGGAGCAGTGCTTTTCATAAATAGCAGGACAATAGTTGGAGGGGAGCTTGATGTGTAAAATAATGGGTTGAAGCAATAACTTTCTAAACACAACTTCTTAATTTTTGCAATTAAAGCACAACTTTCTAATTTTGTAAATCCAGAGATTAACTTAGGTTTCAGATTATGTTGTGTCAATTAATATATTTTTCTTAATCACTTGCACAATGCATATAAAAATGATTTTAACTTATCTATTATACAATACAAAAAATATAAGTCGTACGAATCAATTATGAATACACCAATCAATCGATGTTGAAGTACTGTCGAATCTACTCAGTCCATTGAGGATCGAAGATGTACAGTTTTAAGCAGCATATATAAAGTCTATGACGTTGCACTTTAGGATTTGAGACGATAAATTTAAGCAGCATATATAAAGTCTATGACGTTGCACTTTAGGATTTGAGACGATAAATGTGCACGATATTTCGCGCCATAACTTCAGTTAGAATTTGACGATGTGGTATGTAGAAAATATACTTTAAGGGCATCCACATTTCATAACATTCATTCAATCACAATTTACATTTTCTCTTATCCACAGCATTTCCACATCATCTTTCCACTAAAATTTTCTCAATTTTAACACACACTCACATTGAACCATTCATTTAAACACAAACATATGCGACCCATTACCCACTCATTTAATTCTATTTTTATATTTTATTCTCAATAAAAATAAATATATTTTTCAATTAGAATATTTAATTAATTATTGAAATACACTAAATATTATTAGATTAAAAAACATGACAAATAATGGATGCGATGCAAGTGCCTTAAGTCGATAAGTGCTAATTTAGTAGTTTTTTTATTTTTAGTTTTTATGTTTACTTCATAGACAACAAAAGTTGTAATTTTTAATTTCTTAATTTGTGTCACAATTTGCAATAAATGAAAACCGTGACTTAATTTATTTATAAAATAACACTTAAATCATATTGAAGTGAAAATTGTGATATATTTCTAAATATACGTAAATTAAAAATAAAATACTGCATAGAAGTATAAAAAGCAAAATTAGCAGGGGACTTACTGATGCTACAATGAAAACCGGGTCGCCCTTCTCCGGAAAGTGAACGCCGCACCAGAGTTGGTCATCCCCGTGCCTGCACGCAGAAGTTCGCCGCCAGTACCCCTTACTCGCCGCCTGAAGGTCGCCGCCACACCTCGAGTTTTCTGTTGACAGTTTTAATGATTTGGTTGATATCGTTTCAGGTATATTTTTTAATGTAAAATCTTCGATTTTGCGAAAATCGCTAGAATAAGAACAAGTTGTACTGTTAGTGGTTAGCAATAAGAGCTGTTATGTTCGTCAATTTGAAAGAATAAACGATGGAGCTTGAGAAGTATTTGCAGAGTGTAGAACTCGCATTTTCTCCTTTTAAGTTGGTTTTGTTTAGCGACATAAAATCATGAAACTAATGACGAGTTGGGAATACTAATTTTGTAGATCAATTGGGTGGAAAAATATAGCAAAAACAAAAAAGCTTTGGTATTCATTAAATTTTACGAATTCAGAAGTAGTGTCTTCCGTTGGAAAACTTTTATGAAAAACACAAATGATGCTGTTAGGCTAGCAATTCTTATACTATGTAATGCCATACTTGTGTAATATTGTATTTTAAATTATGACATTTGACGATAATAGTATGTATATTTTTTTGGAAGAGTATGACATCGTGAATATTAGATAGCCTAACATAAGACCTATTGTATTGAAATTTTTTGAAAATCTAGTCATGCGCATGCCCGTGTGTGTGCTTGAAGCATTGAGTTTTCCGAACTTGAGAGTACGACTCTCTTTGGTACGAGCACAGGGTTAAAATGCTTATACCTTGGTTCTCTGAAAATATATTATATTATGTAATGATGGAAATTGGAAAGCCCCAGTATATGCTGTTAGTAAATCAAATTTGCAGCTTTGGTGTAATGATTTCACATCTGACTTATATTTATCTTAATCCTGCAACTCTGATTTGAGGTTTTTTTCATTGTTGAATGTAAATCTGTCTGAATGTAGAGTGTACCCAGGGTTATCACTCGTCCCTGACTCTTCGTTATTTGGACTATACACTTGGAAATGTTCTCCCTCCAGTCCTTGTTTTCAGCTAACCTCTTTTCCATAAGCCCTCGAAACTCCTCTCTACGAAAAATCATAAGCACGGTTACTGCCTACTCAAATCCTAATGCTTCTTTCTCGGATGACCTGCACGCCGCATTTTTCGGCCATCTGAGCAATTATTCCAGCGTGACAATCGAGGGTTCAGTAGAACTGAATTCCGAAAAGCTGAGGTTGGACTCATGGATATCTTCTCGCATTAGCGGCATCTGTAGAACTAGAGTTCGGTCCAGCATTCGTTCAGGATTGGTGTCTGTCAATAGCCAAGTCATCAATAAGGTTGCTGAAATTGGCTTTTCTTTATGTTTTGAAATTACTTTCTAAGTTATAGAAGATGGTGGAGTGTTATCTTACTCTCTTATTTAGTTTATCAATTTACACTGAATGTTAAATATGGTAGACTCTATATATTGAAGGTGACTCACGTATTGAGAGATGGGGACGTGGTTAATTGCAAGATAGAGTTGCAGACTTTCAGGGCTGAACCAGAAGACATCCCGTTGAACATAGTTTATAGACACGAACACGTACTTGTTGTCAACAAGCCTGCTCACATGGTGAGCTCTTGAAACATCATTGTATCTGTTTTCTTTGTTTATATTTCCTTCATGAAAACCTCATAATTGAAATTACTTCAAAAGTTAGGTACAATTTGATTGTAATCAGTAAGACAATGCAAGCTTTTTGTTGTTTATTATAAGCTCTTGAAAATTTCCAATTTTTCTTGGGCCTTGGTTGCTTGAAGTTAGCTTATATTTTGTCATAGTCTCTGTTTTATAACCCACAACATTTACTAGGATGACTAAATCAAATTCCTAAAGTCCTAGTCTACCAAGTTGTCAACTGATTTTCTGTGCCCTTTACCAATGATTATCTTTTAATTTTGTTATGACGGACTGTTGTCCGTTTAGAGCATTGTTAATCTAAAAAGTTGAGATTCTACATTTTCTTTCCTTAAACATCTTTGAGTGTTTGGTTTGAACCATACTTTCTCTTCACATCTATATTTCGGTCTATGGGACTGCTTATTAGAGTCAGTCAAGGATTGTCATCTGTTGTGCAGGTGGTTCATCCTGCACCCGACAATGCAACAAGGACACATGTAAATGAAAATTTTCACCACTGCAGACTTTCTACTGTATGTTTCAGTCCAGAAGCGCTGACTGAGACTGATGATTCAGGAGATGAGGTCTGTGCCTTTCCTGTACATGAAGGTCGTAATGAAAATAATGATTTTGGCTTATGTGAGGAATCTGTACGCCTTGAGATTGTCCACAGACCAGATAAAGGGACTAGTGGATTGCTCGTCGTTGCAAAGGTGCTTCTATGTTCGAGATCTGGAAAATTTTACTTGTAATATTTTGAAAACTTCATACTTACTCGCATTTTTCTTTTTTCTTTTATACTTCTCAATGCAGGATGAGCACTCTCACACCGATCTAGCTGAACGGTTCAAGAAATACACGTTAAAGAGAGTCTATGTAAGTCTTGCTTGTGGAGTATCCTCACCATTTTCCAATCACATAGATATCCCTATAAGGCACGATCCAAACAACAGAATTCGTATGATTGCAGATTGCTAGTCCTGGACTAGGTACCCGTGGAAAAGCCCGCAAT